TATTTGTCGCGCTGCTGCTGACGTCAGGTACGCGCTTTAATCGGGCGCGCTTTAGTGGACCGCGGTTTTGTCCTGCCACGTTATTTACTACACAGATTACATGGTTCAATTAACTCTTGCTAAAGAACATCGCAACCCTCCTACATTGAAAATAATCTAACATTAAGCTTCCTAAATGCGCCGACAAATTTCTCATATTCATTCTACGACATACTTTTCTTTCGTTAAGTTTGGTCTTTACTGATTCCCATTTTTCTTTAAGATTATTTATATCCTGCTCAACATTAGTTTCCATAGACTCTGGGCATTTTGCAAGCATCTGTAGGCCCTTCTGCAACAGACATCTGTATGTTTCCTCCTTAGCTTCAAAGGCAGCACAAAGTTCCTAGACAGAAAGAGAAAATAGGCCACATGATTTACAATCAAATGCAGATTCTAAACTATTAACCTCCAAAGCAGTTGGAAGAGGCTATGGGCTCTGGTTTGGGAGGGGGAGGTTGGGTGAGTTAAGAAATGCACATGGTGGCTAATGTGAAACGTTCGCCAGATGTCACAAGTATGTGCCCATAACAGCATACAGAATTGTGTGCATTCTTTAGTCAAAATGAGTCAACAATTTAAAAAAAAATAGTCAAATGCATGAGTTCCCTATGTGTTTATAGGCACTCAATTTGCTGTGTGCTTTGAAGAAATATTTGAGCAAATATTTTAATGTTATCTATTAAGTAATCTTCAATGTTGTTTTTGTGCAACTGGCCTAGCAGAATTCTGGGATCATATGAGACCAAAGACAATTTCATCTGTGGAGTCTTCAATCCATAACAAAAAAAAAAATATGCATATTCCAAATTCAGAAAAAACTTCATTATTTAGTGATTTTTTTTCCCTAGAATAAAAATGTCTTTTGAAGTTGCAAACCATTTCTGCAACTTCAGAGCTGAAGAAGTTTCTTGGATTGGAAGCAAGATGCCTTCAAGGAAAAACCAGACAGCCCAGTTGCCTCTTGAAAGAACCACTTTTGGGACATTTCTGCAACTGAAAAATAACCCAGGAAAATCTGATCTATTACTCAGATGCAAAGAAAGCAAGAGAGAGGCATTCTCAATCACATCTTTGCATTTCAGACCGAGACTGGAATTTTGGCAACGCTTACCAAACCACTAACTATAAGTTATGAATATGCAAGTAAAATTGGACCAGGGTATGTTATATTCCAACTCCTGGAGATAGGCATATTTTAATGAGCCTTCAACTCGCTGAAAATAAAGTAATACAACTGTGCTGTCTGGACACAGGAGAAAAAAAAAAGATTCTATCTTTAAACCTTGGCAACTGGAGCTGGATGAAATCAAGAAATAATAGATGGACAATAAAGTTGAGGGATTAAGACACATAATAGTAAGTTCTCTATTTGGAGAACTTGCAGAAAATTAAGAGTTTGGTATTAAGACAAGTGGAAGAATACAAATTATAAATACAACTTTACAGCAGAGTCCCCATATTTCCTTAAAATTGTTTTTGTCTCTAAACTAACGTGAGGATTGTTCACCTATGGTAATTTTAAAAAAAATAATGCCTTTAGAGTTATTTTCCTCTGCAGAATTTGCAATTTTTTTTTCATTCCAAACAGCCACAAAGCATTAGTTTTCCAAATTTGGGCCATCTGTACTACTAAGATCCTTACCATATGGGTATTAAGCTGCTCTCTTGCAGTCTCTGGTAAGCCACCAACAGGTTTTGATGCCAAAAGATGACGCTCCGTTTCTGTCAACCATTGTTGTAAGTCTTCAACGTCACCATGGAAACCCTGGGCCTAAACAAAATGTCATCATAACACTTCAGGGCATATTTCATGACCCTGGCATGCTGTATCAGCTAAGACATTGCAAAAGTGGGACACAGTAAATCACAGGATTTTTAAAAGCCTACAAACCTAAAAGGAAAATGCTGTTAAATTAAGAATTCAACTAAACAAAACAAAACTGTTAAATTTAATTTTTAAAACAAAACAAAAGGTTAAAGCAAAAAAATTATACATAACAGTGAAATGCTCTTGAGTGAGAAGAATAAAAAGGGGAAAAAAAACCTAGGTAACCTTATACCAAATATATAAAATGTACTTCTGATCATGGATTTACAGTTCAAATCCCAATTTATGACTGGGAATTTCCACTTGGAAGCTAAAAATACACACAGAACAATCTGTCCAGTGGTGGGATTCAAATAATTTAACAACTGGTTCTCTGCCCTAATGACTATCTGGGTAGGCGTGGCTTGGTGGTCATGTGACTGGGTGGGCGTGGCCAACTCAACGTCACTCAAGTCGATAGGCGCTTCGCCTTAGCTGTTATAATGTAATAAGGGTTAACCGGAGAGGCAGTTTCTGTAAGCAGGTCAATAAAGATTAGGCTAGAAACAACACCAGAATATTTCCTTCCTGCCTTCCTTACAGGATTAGCCCTGTAAAGTGGGGAAAAAAACAAAAGGAGATTTCTTCCGACAACTGATTCTCTGAACTCATTAGAAAGTTACCAACCGGTTCTCCCGAATAGGTGCGAACTGGCTGAATCCCACCACTGAATTTGTCCAATTTAAGATTCCTAATTAGGTATTTCAAGCTATTAGTAATTTATTTTTTTTTTAAAAAAACTAGGTTCCAATGTTTTTCTATTGAAGAGATAGCAAAGTGTAAGGACAATTTTAAAGTACCTACCTTTGGCTTCAATAGGCCCAAATTCTACTCAATACACCTGGGTGGTCTTTTACACTTCTCATACATACCTGGATCAAAGCACTGTCTAGCTGCTGTTTCCTTTTTTCTGTTTTCTCCAAGACGTTTTCCCATCGTTGATTCAGAAGCTCAAGTTTGCTTTGCAGATTACTAGCTTCTTCCACAGCACTTGATTGAATCAGATCATTTCCTGCTTTTTTAACTGTTTCCACAGTAGACTGGTGAGCTAAGACATCATTTTGCAACACCTGAAGGAACAAAAACGTGTAATTCCTTTCTGTTTTCTAAATCGCTCCTTTCATTCAGTTGCCTCTGTAATAACATCATTTCAATAAAACCAAATTGGTGATATTTACAAAATAGTACAAATTAGGCTTGCATAATTGAGTGAATTCCTTTGAGATATTAAAAGAACCCACTTCGAATAACAATTCTTACTTATTTGGGATATTCTAGAGCAGTTGGAGCATTCTGGAAGTTGAGGTCCACACATCTTAAAGTTGCCAAAGTTGAGAAACACTGCTTTAGTGAGGCAATAGTAATAGCACTTAGACTTATACACCATTTCATAGTGCTTTACAGCCTTCTCTAAGCAGTTTTACAGAGCCAGCCTCCAACAATCTGGGTCCTCATTTTACTGACCTTGGAAGGATGGATGCCTGAGTCAACTTTGAGCCAGTCAGGATTGAACTCCAGTTTATGGGCAGAGTTACCTTGCAATATTGCATTCTAACCACTACACCATCATGGTTCTGTCAAATCAGCATACTTTTTATTGGTTCATTTAATGTACCTCAAGGAGACAGCATATTGTTTATACTGCGGTTCTTGATACAGGGATGAAATGTGAGGGTTCTCTTAAATACAAGCTAAAATCCACAAATCCCAAATATTATTTATTATTATTTGTTTTAGTTATATGACTTTAACCCTATGAATTAGGGGAGAGAGAGGGAGAGGAAGAGGGAGGGGGAGAGGAAGAGATAGGGAGAGAAAGACACTTGAAAAGACAATACTACATTTATGGTTGACCAGAGATCCCCTTTTAGACTTTTTGTATAAAATGGGAAAAATGCAATTGTGACTTGTGGTTTTAATGATTTAAACAAAGTATAATAGAAAAAAATGAGCTTGGAGTCACCTAACCGAAACCCTGAGGAGAAGAAATTATTTTTCCTGCACACAAGCAGAAAAATCTTTTGCAATATAACTGTGTTCCGTATGTTTATTGTTTTACATATTTTTGCTGCATGCCATCCAGAGTCATTTTTGTGAGATGAGTGGGTCATATGAATTTGATAGATAAATAAAATAAAGCAAAAGAGAAGACTCAAGAAAATAGACATGCAGGAAGTCAGTGCTATAAGAAAAGGGGCTTGGGGGGTCAGTCTTCAATTAGGAAACAAATTTTCAAGCCTTGATTTCCTGAATATGTGTTCCTTCTGGTTTCCTGACTGATTGTGGATTTTGAACATGATTAACTAGGCTCTCATTTTTTTGGATTTGTCTGCACAGGAGTTTGGCTTCTGAAATATGCTTGCTTTTTCCTGAGTTCTGCTTTCATGCACTCTGTTGAGGTTTGAGACCCCCATACAGACCTTTTTTTTTCAAAATCTGACCTATTTCAACTGTTAATATGGAGCAGTTATTTCCATTCAGTCATCATATCTAACAACGAAGCCCAGAAATTCCAGTTACGTACATGATGTTTGGCCAGCTCAATTTCAATAGCTTTGGGGTCACCTCCCACTGGCCTCTGTTCATTCAGCAGGTCTTCAGTATGTGTCAGCCATGTCAGCAACTCGTCCAGAGCATGCTGGAACTGCCCCAAAGCTAATAAAGCACCTTCCAGTTTATGCTGTTCAAAAACAAGAGTATAAAAAATTGAAATCATGACACAAATGGCTAAATCCTCAATCATTTCAACGTGTGTGGAAAACTCATATGAACACCTACAAGTGCCATCCGAAAATTTATTTTATATATAAAATACAATCTGAGAACCAGATTAGATGAAGAGCATTTAATGCTAGTAACATATTTTATTCTAATTATTTAAGAATTCTTGAGTGGCTTACCTTATTTACCCCATGAGAGGTTAATGTAAAAGTTAGTGACTTTGCAAATCAAAGTCTCAGAATATGCTCACTGTGAACTTGTGTATTAATTAATTAATTTTATTTAGAAAATTTATATTGCCGCCCATTCACACATGGCGACTCAAGGTGGCTTACGAGAATAAGTGAATAAGCCTCGGAGTCTTTTTTCGTTGGGGGTGTTACTTGGAACCCTGACCGATGCAGTATCTTGTTTTCTCAATTTTAAAAATTATATTAGTGAAACATAATAAATAATATAACATGATTTAGAGTACAAAACATGGCTTTTAAAACAATTTAATCATAAAGAGGGGAAAAGGAACTAGGAAAAAGAAAACTAGTAAGAAATCTATTACTATTAATCTACTGGTGGGAAACATAGCAAGTTCAGGAATGTGCTGGAGATATTAATGTTTGTTGTGCCATTTCTTTTCAACTTGTTATATATTGTTTAAAAATTCTTAAAACTGGTTATCACCTTTAAAGCCCTACATGGCCTAGGACATGGATATCTGCGAGACCGCCTCCTGCCACATACCTCCCAACGGCCGACTAGAACTCACAGGCTGGGCCTCCTCCGGGTGCTGTCGACTGGACAATGCCGGCTGGTGGCCCCTCGGGGGAGGGCCTTCTCTGTAGCTGCCCCGGTCCTGTGGAATGATCTACCTGTGGAGATCCGGACCCTTCCTACTCTCTCAGCCTTCCAAAAAGCTACCCAAACCTGGCTGTTCCGGCAGGCCTGGGGCTGTTGACCCATGAATGAGGTCCAGCCCCTATCTAAGTCGAGTGTATGGTGTGTTCCTTTTAAATCTGTCCTCGTCCTTTCCCTATTTTTTATTTTTTGTTTTATTCTTGTATTTGTAAGCCGCCCGGAGTCCTACGGGATTGGGCGGCATATAAATTTATTAAATTACGAATAAAAGAAATGGAATGACTAAACCTATATCTGATCAATATTTAACACACATAATTAATTAGACACCATTATGTATTAGTTACAACAAATGATATGATTGCATTTGAAATTCAGAGATCTTCATGCCTTTAGTTCAAATATTCCATTACAATTTCAGAAGATATTCTGCTAGATAAGAGTCGAGTAAAACTTTCAGCCAAGCCTAATTTACCTGGCGGCTAATGATTTTATCCTCTAGGCATTCCCATAACAACCTGAGTTCACACAAAGGATCTTGAACAGTATGCTTCTCATTTTCCTCTGTGACTTTCTTCAACAACAGTTCGGCCTGATGGTTCAGCCGTTCCATTTCTATTTGCTGTTGGTAGGCTTCTTTTTTAAATTGCTGCAGAAATTCAAGAAGAGAAATATCAAAGGGGAATAAGGCCACCTTGACCTTATTCGTTTATTGTGAAATTTAGTGTCAAGACCTCCGCAGGTTTCTGCTTATGGAAAACTTATTTTTTAGCAAAAAGCACAAAAGGAGAAATTACTGTAAAATGTTAAATATCTTTTCTTCTTCCTAGGGGAAGAAGATCTTTCTGGGAACAGGATGCAATCTATAGAACTTTCTAACCCAGTATTCTTCATAAATTAGACAATTAAATCACACCTTTTCTTCCTGAAGTATAAATGGACAGCATACTTCCATCATTCTTATGTTTGAAATGTCTCACACTCAATTTAGTCTATAAAGACTTTGAAGTCTTTAAAAGCTTCCTCAAAGTGAAGGTAATGTTGATAGAGCTTTGCCCTGGAAATGACTGAACCCAATTACACCTGGTGCAGAGATCCATCCCCAGAAGAAATTAACCGAAGAGAGGGAAACCATAGCAATATATCACACACGAGTCTCTCTCTCACACACACACACCACCTCATCTGTGACTGAACAGTTTTGACCCCTGGGTAACTTACGACACAAAGCTTTGACAAGTCCAAAACTCTGTAACTCTTCACCTTCTTTCTGTCTGAAATAGAATCGAAGTCAATACAATACAATAGCAGAGTTGGAAGGGACCTTGGAGGTCTTCTAGTCCAACCCCCTGCCTAGGCAGGAAACCCTATACCGTTTCAGACAA